ACCGCGATGTGGCCCTTGGGGTGAGGGAGCCCGGGAGAGGGTGTGACCAGCGGGGATCCCATTAAAATACAGAGCAGTCATGCAAGCCAGGCTTCTTGGCTCCTTCCCGCCTGCTCTCACCACCCCACCCCCAAATATGATCATAACAGCACAGAGCTATAAAGTTGCTTTTCATAGCACACATTGCCCAGCTCCCTAACAAAGTTCTGACTGTCAAGAAGAAAAGGAGGACATTGTAAGGGGGGATTAAAGGAAGGAGTGGTGAAGAGAGGCAGAGTGGTATAGTGGAAAGATCCCCAATCCATTAGGCAGGACCCAGGGATTCTTGCTGAGATCTGCAGGCAGCTAACTCTCTGATCTGAGGCAAGTCCGTCCTTCTTGGGCCTCAGTTTCTCCATTTGTAAAATGAGGGTCTGGGTCTAGATCATGTTAATGTCCTTTCCAGCCGCTGGGTGCTGTAAAATGCTGCTTGACACCAGCAGCACAGGAGGATGTGAATGCCTGCTCACACATCCTGTCACAAATCACAACATGCTGTTTAGAAGTAATTAGCTTTTAATAAGCCCTGGGATTTGGGGTTTGGAATGGGGACATCAAGCCGTAGATTTTAAACCAGAGACATCTGGGTCATCATGATCCGCCTTGGTTGTCACTGAAACACTCAGATCATTTTGGGGCTCGTTCACTGCATGCCACCAGCCCTTGAAGATGTTAGCAACCACCTACTAACACATAGTAGATGCTTAATGAATGCTCTCTGAGTGAACACATGCAGCAGGTTGGGGCTAGGTTCTTTTTCATCATTCACTCACTGTTTGTTGAGTGATTATTATGTGTAAGACCCTGGAGATACATTAGAGAACAAACCAGACCAAGACTCTGCTCATGGAGCAGAATAATAGGAAGACACAGGAAATATACGAATGCAAAAATAATTATTTGCTGGATGGTGATACGTGCTAGAAGAAAAATAAAGAAGGGGGAGGGGGAGGGGATTAATAGTGCTGGGGTGCCATACTACATACAGTGTGATCAGGGTAGGACTCCTTAATGAGGTGACATTTGAGTAGAGACCTAAAAGAAGTGAAGGAGCAGTCAAGGCGATATTTGAGAAAAACGCCTACCAGGTAGAAATGGCAGTAAGTACAACGTTCCTGAGGCAGGAGTCTGTTTGCTACATTTAAGAAATAGCATGGAGGTCTGTGTGGATAGAGCCCAGCGAGCAAAGTAGAGACCCATAGATGATGACATCAGAGGGTGGGTGGTGGGTATAGATCATGGTGAAAATTTGACTTGAACACTAATGAAGATTAGCATCCAAGGGGGAGGGTTTGGAGCCAAGAAGAGATAGGACATGACATATTTTAAAAGGCAAACTTTGGCTGTAGGTATTGGCCAAAGTGAAGCAAGAGTGTCAGCAGGGAGATCAACTAGGTGGCAAATGAAATAACCCAGCAAAGAAGTGCTAGTGAGTTATATCATCGTAGTGAGGTAGAAGTAGTAAGAAGGGATCAGATTCAGGACATGTTTTGAAGATTGAGCCAGTTCACTTAGCATCTATCCCATACTACCAACTCTTCAAGTACTGCTAACTTCTTTCTCCAGCTAGATCATACGTTCCTTGAAGGCAAGGGCTCTGTGTCATACTTCTGTGTAGCTATCAAATCCTTGGCATATTTGTTAAACAACACATAGGCACCCAATAAACCTCTGTTTGCTCAACTAAGTTTAATCAATATTTATGAAGCACCAAGCTCCAACTTCATCTCCTATCCCCTAAAACCCAGCACCACATGCTCAATTCATAGTGAACTTCTTCCAGTTCCTCAAGCCAAGCAGTTTCTGCTTCTACATCTTTGGGAAAGGGGCCTGGAGTGGCCAGTAGACTGAGACAGAGAGTTAAAGAAGGATTTGTCTTCTTGTTTTAATGATGGGAAAGAAATAAGTATGTTTAAATACTGACAGGAAGCACCTGCCAAAAAAGGAAGATGTTTAAGAAACCATCAAGAAGGAATAAGTGAAACAGAAAGGTCCTGAGAGAGCTGGAAGAGCTGGATGAGAAGACTTTAAAGAGGAAAGGAGGGGGCCGGCCCCATGGCCAAGTGGTTGAGTTTGCACACTCCACTTTGGCAGCCTGGGGTTCGTCAGTTGGGATCCTGGGCGCAGACCTAGCACTGATTATCAAGCCATGCTGTGGTGGCATCCTAGATAGAATGAGAATGATTTACAGCTAGGATATACAACTATGTGTTAGGGCTTTGGGGAGAAAAATAAAGAGGAAGATTGGCAAGAGACCTTAGCTCAGGGCCAATCTTCCTCACCAAAAAAAAAAAAAAAAAAAAAAAACCACCCAGGAAAGGAAGGGCAAGGCTGCATGCCACTCTATAGGTTTTATGACAGAAAATGGAAAGAGGTTTATGTGCTAAGCATGAGAGTACAGGCAGAGCTTGAGTTTTGAGAAGAGAGGAGAATATTTGAAATATCTACTGGAAAACAGACAAGAAACCTGAAAAGTGAAGCAGAATGTATTAGCGGGGCAGCACTGAGGCATCTGTTGAGGTCCATGTGCATTAATTTATGGTGGCCTTGATCTGTAGGCTAGAATTTATTCGACCTTGACAGAATTTCAGCAGCCAGGCTATGGACACAGATAGGGCAGATGGTTGGAAACACCCTGGGTTAGTTTGTGATATATGTGTCAAAAAGACAACAGAGCTATGGCATTAAAGTTAAAAGAGTTGTTGAAGTGATGAACAGTGGAATCCATGTAAATAGGAACGAGAGTAAAGACAAGAGCAGAAAATAGTTTAAGACAAAGAGGGTCAGTGAATTGGAGGTCCCAATTGAAGAACCAGAAAGCTGACAGTAAGCGAGCAAGGGAATTGGAAGGAGAGGAAGGTTGTGGTCAGAGAGTGGGAGGTGTGAATTTTATGACTTCCAAGGTGGAGAAGTTCCAGAAAATGACCACAAGAGTGGGCGAATGAAGTGGCTTGGAGGGGAAGTCACTAGAGGTGAGAAGAATAAGGAACTGAGAGAACAAGGGGTTGAATTGCTCACGCATGTGGACACAGAAGACCTCTAGAATAGTGGCTGTGCTTGGGAAGTAGAGGAATGTGGAGACAGATGCTAACTCGTGCAGTGAGTGAATGGGTGTGTCCAGGAAGTGAGCCAATGGCAGTTATGTGAAAGGCCCAAAGAGGGTACCAGTGACTCAGAGGGCACACCAAGGGAGCAGAAATTGTGTTTACAAATGCCTGGTTCAGCCTGTACAGTAGAAAGAGGATTGTGTAACCCTGGACCCTATGAGGAGCCACGGTTTGGGGAAAGAGTTGGTGGAGACATGCGAGGATCTGAACCACATGAGGCATCCGTTGATCAGGCCCAGGCCATAGGAAATAAAACTTTCTGAGTCACCTACATCAGTAACTACAATTTCTTACTGGTCTCCACACTCTAGGGGTCTGGGGGAAAAGTTTGTGTCACTTTAAGTATAAACCATCCAGTTTATATCTGAATTCAACTTTCACAGTTGGACTAACTAGAGAGACATTAGTAGAGTTTGTGGCTCATGCTTGAAATAAACAGAGGCCACTTAGCTGGTAAATATCACTGCAGTCACTATACTGAGAATTCAAACAAGAAAGACATCAAGAGAAAGGCATCAAGAAGATGAGAGGCTTCCGGAGGGGATGGGGTTGATATGAGCCTGAAGGACATCCAGGCTGTGTAGAGAGAAAGGAAAGTGGGGAGAGATTCTAGGTAAAGAGAATGCTATAACCATGTGTGGCTGAGTGGGATCTACTAGTTAAGAAAAGTACTTCTTAGAGGACTTGATAGAGTTCCCAGATATTCTGCTTGGCTTAGAGTCTTATGAAAGCTCATAGAAACCTCAAGGTTGAACTGAGAGCTTTAAGGACTAATCTATATAAAGAGTTTGGACTTATGTTCTAAGGAATGGGAGCTCATGGGTGGTTTGTGAGCAGATGTGTGACAGGATCAGAGTTGTACTTCTGGAAGATTTGCCTGGCAGAAATGGGTGAGAGGAACACAGTGAAAGAGTTGCAGCAAGGAGACCGTTTATAAGGCCACTGTGGTTGCCTGAGAGAGAGGCACAGAAGCCTAAATGGGAATGGGAGTAATAAGAATGGGGAGAAGAGAGCAGACAGGAAAGCTTTTACAGAGGTAGACACAATAGGAGTTGAAAGCCAAAATAAATATGAGCAATCGCTGCAAGCATGCTTACCGCATTATTGGTCAAGCACTATAATACTCAGAGGCTGTAAGAGATTCGGGTCAACACAAAGATCTCTGACTCCAACTAAAACTAAGTCAGCTGTTTATGTCTTAAAGGAAGAAAATCAGACACCAAAAAGGGAAATTAACCTTTCCCTCACAGAAGCCATAAACAGCATCCAAATGTGGCAGAGAATGAAACCACCGGCCATGTGTTCAAAAGAAACATGATATCATTGGCTAACAGAGACAAGACTCAACCAGGAAACAGACTCCAGCGTTAAAATTCTAGCACACAGGGCTTTTGGAAAATAAAAACTAGACACAGTGGAATAGAAAGACTCTATCTAAATGGATGAGGCCGAGAGAGAGATGATCTATCGAGCTATAGTTGAGAAGGCAGCTGGGATAGAGATGACGAAAACTAGGAAACAGCCACTAGACGAAAGGTTATCGGTCACCAATGAGCAATGACACAAAAGAGGTTCAAAATTGCTGCTTCAGATAGAAGCAGGAAAAATAAGAATATGATGGTTCGGTGAAGGCATATTATTTTCTCGAAGTGAGGCCAGGCTCCTGGAAGCCCCCTAATGTGCTGCTGCCTGCACCCCGCCTCGACTCCACTCTACCAAGGAAGCTCACTCTGTGCCACTTGGAGCAAGTGACATAAATTCCCTGTGAACTCCAGACTCCTCATCTATGTAATGGGCACAGTTGTTTCCACTTCATGGAACTGGAAATGAAGTCAGATAAGACATGGGGGTGACTAAAGGGCTTGTCAAAATTGACTTTGTTTTTTAATTTATGGAAAACAATTGGAGTAAGAGTGATTCCCATTTGATATTTTTGACATTACAGCTGTCAGGTGACCCTTGGAACTGGCCTTTTTATCCGGGAAGGATCACTTTTTGGGGCCCCTATGGGTCATATAAATGTAGAACGGAAGGATCCTGAAGGAGGGGCATGCTCGGTGAGCTGCTGGGCATGGTGTGACTGTTGCTGCTACAAACTGCTCCTCCTCTTGGCAGGGCATAAGTTTCTTGAGGGCAAAGAACCCGTCTTCTTTTTCTTTACATCTCAAATGTCACCTAGAATGATGCCAGACACAAAATAGACACTGAATAAGTATTTGTTGAATGATTGAGTGTCTATCCAGCTGTTACAGTAAATGCCTCTGAGCTAGGAATTCCGTATACATCCTCTGCATCTAGACGAAGGCCTAACCTGGAGTGGAGACAGTGAGTTTTCCTTAAATGAATAAATGAGCAGAGCTTGACATTAGTCAGGACTGCACATATTAAAACCTGAAACGTTTTTCTTACCTCTTTGGCGTGGTTAGAATAGACACAACACTCCATGGCCCAAATTTTCAAATATATATATATTTACATGATTTCTATGCAATATCTAAGCATATTGTACATGCACCTGCTCACGTGCACACTCACATATAGCCATTGTCCCCCAGGCGTGAAGGTCAGTGGCATCTTCATCCATTTGCTTTATCATATCACCATTTGAATTGCAGAAATAGTGAAGTTCCAGAAAACCAAATAATAAATGAAAAGAATAACTGTTTTTCTACATGGCAGGCTCCATGCTAAGTGCCATACAGGTATTTTCCCTTGGAAAATTTACAACAGTCTTGTGAAGGATGTACAATTATTATCCCCATTTTACAGAGGAAAAGCCTGAGACTCGGAGGAGTAATTTGCCTAGAGTCACACAGCCCAACCGCTGGCCTATATCCTGTAATAGCTCTTTACGTGATATTGGAACACCACTTGAGAATAGCACTTCCCCGTCAGAGGGGGAAGCCACAAGGGACATCTTTCTTTGGCTCCATCCTTTGTTCTTTGCTGCCCTGAGTCTCCGGCACATCTGATTTGTAATTGTCCCAGCAATTCTGGGTGCGCAGCAACCTAGAAGATTTTGAGACACAACAGACTGCAGAGGGGCTGGCTCTGAGCCACTAGAGGGAAGCTACAGGTAGGATCCTGTTTCAACCATCAACCATGCAAATAAGCTGATGCTGGCGCAGATCACGAACTGCTCACCAGTCGTTTCCTTAATGACTTGCTAAATTTCCTTCGTATGCTCCCAGAAAATCACACTCTCTGCAAAGTCCCGTGGCTCCATTCCGCAGCCCACACCGATAGTGTCAGGATTCCTGACCCGAAGCCAAATCCTGGTTCTCAGCCCTATGTGAATAGACTTGGGTGTCTCCAAAGTAACCGAGGTACTGCAGGTCACACAAAGGCCTCACCCAGCCCTGGTGCTGGCGGCCAGGACCCCTCTGGAAGGAGCCTTGGAGGTGCTGCAGAGACTGGAGCCCAGTGAATCTCTTTTAAAGCAAAGAAAACTTTGTTAAAATGAAATCTCCAAAGGAGAAGGCAAATAAGAGCAGAACTGCTGGGGCTGAAGCAGAAGCGGGGGTCCCAGATCTCCACCTCAGCATCCCCCTGTGACCCCTACATTGCTCCCTAAAGCATTTTCCCAGAATCTCTGTAGCTCCCCAGAGCGAAGTTGAAACCCTCTGATCTCGTCCACCTCAGCCCATTACCATTTCAGGTATAAAGAGGTCAGGGAACATGGCCAAGTTCCCATAGCGAATGAGTGCTGGGACCTGAACTCAGAGCTCCTTACACTCAGGTCATCACAAGACACTATTTTGCCTTCAGAGGTGAAAAAATTCTCTCATTGCTGGCTAATTTTGTTTTTCCTGTTTTTAATCATCATTGGTAACAGTTGTCTAAATGCGTTTTACTCTCTTCTCTAAAGCTCTTCATTTGCAGCCAGAGAGAATATCATCAGTCAGTATGGGCACCAAAGGGGGACTGAGGGAGGGCATGGTGGCCTTTCGATATAGCACCCTCAAAAAGTAACAAACTACAACCCCTTCTCCTTCAAAATGAAAAATAAGTAATCTATGTGAGATTTTTCTTTGTCTGGAAAGCTCTGTCTCTTGAACCTCCGTGCATCTGTGGGGCTTCTGTTTCCTTTCAGACTACCTCCGTGTGACCTTCCTGGTGAAGCCTTCTGAGGGACAAATCCCAGGGGGGAACTCCTTAACAATCCTTAATTATATGTTGGCCTGCATTTGTCCCTTTCCACACGGGGACCACCTTAAGTGGAGAATTAGGGTTCCGTGCATTAGTGCAATGCATTAAAAAGCAAATTTGCACAAATAACTGAGCAAGTTGCTTTAATAACACTCAAAGTTTCACAGATATGCTGTCCATCCAAGTCACACTTTCTTTTATCTCATGGAATAGAATTCTAGAATCTTATCAGTCTTGAGTTTGAGTCCTAACTCTGCCACCTCCTAGCTGTGTGGCCTTAGCTGGGCCACATAACCTCCCCGCTGAGCCTGTGCCCTCATTCACAACATTGTTGTAATAACCTGCAGGGTCATTGTGAAGACTAGAAGTAAAGCATACTATATACTATCTGACTCAGGGGAGATACTCAGATGATGTCAGCTAGTATTTTTTTCTACCAGAGCATAAGCTCTTTTTCACAATTATGTCACCAGCAACTAGCACAGTGCTCAGTAAATGTTCATAGCAGTGATGAGTGCTTAACAGAGTGACTGACTAAATGAATGAACAAATGATCACATTGTAAGGGACCTGAACAATCATCAGATGTAACTACCCATCCAATTCAAAGTGGATCTTTTAGAGCACTCCTGAAAGACAGTCGTTGGTGTTCAGTGGAGCATGCTCACTAGCCCTCTACTGCCCATGGCTGGGGTGGTACATAATTAGAAAGGCAGGCCTGACATTGAATAGAATTGTTACCATGATTCACCAGCCACCCATCTTGGCTTGTTCTGACCACCTCCACTGTGAGGCACAAGTGCTAATTCTTTCATCCTCTTAACAAGCATTTCTTGTTGGCCTTGTCTACTGGGCTACAAGAACTCTGGATTCAGGCTGAATATGTAGTGGCAGCCCTGCCGTTGTGGGGCTTATGTTGTAGCCAGAAACAGACATTAAAGAACTAAGTGAATAATTAATTATTTAACAGTATTATAAGCATTTGGAAAGAGAAGTACAGGGTACCATGGAGGGAGGTAACCAGTAACCAGGAAGGTTACCCCTCTGTAAGGTGGGCCAGAGAGTTGATTGAAGAAGCGTTAGAGGGTAGAGAGAGAAGGAATGAGGGAGAGAAGTGGGGCAAACATACTTCTTAATATACTGGGAAAGTCCCTTCTTAATCCTTCCTGAAAAACCTCATTCATGTTAAGGCTCTTTGTCACAAATCGACGATTATTCATAGATTTGTGAAATAGAAACAAACCCAGGCTCAAATCCTGAGGCTGCTGTTTACACCTTTGGCAAATGACTCCGCACCCCTCAGCTTACACTCCTCACCTGTAACATGGGGAGGTCGAGGCAGCTACTGTTGAGAATGATGTGGCAATTTAGGCGAGGATATACCACCACACTCAGCACAGTGTCATCACATGGTGAGCAGTCAAAAGTGGTATCCTTGGGGGTTGGCCTGGTGGTGTAGTGGTTGGGTTCACATGCTCTGCTTCAGCGGCCCGGGGTTTGTGGGTTCGGATCCCAGGAGCAGACCTACATACCACTCATCAAGCCATGCTGTGCAGCATCTCATATCTAAAATAGAGGAAGATTGGTGCAAATGTTAGCTCGGGACCAAAGACAAATATGCATATACGGTATCCTTGCTATTATCATAATTAATGTCCAACTGCTTCACATTCAGATGAGGAAGGAGAAGTTCAGAGTGGTTGAAGACATGAAGGTCATTCATCTAATGGAAGGCAGAGGTGACACTCAGCCATAGGTCTCCCTAATCCAATCCTCTTGACAGAAAATGATGTTGTTTCACATATTTTTTTAAATCTCATAGTCAGAAATGAAATGCATACATAACTAACACTTTCCTTAGGGTCCAGCGATGATCACATGGGAATTTCAGAGAGTGAGCTCTAGATCTTTAGTGGGCAACGTTGTGGGGCCAGGACTGTTCTGGAAGCTGAATGGGATGCAAAGAATAAGATAGGGCTCTTTCGTCAGAGGTTTTACCTTCATTTAGTTGAATTTCCCCCAACAAAAGGCCAACAACACAGATTCTTTTAGGGTGGGAGAAGTAAGACTTGAAGGAAATATTTCCAAACATTCTCAGAGGCCGCAGCTCAGATATTTCTGGTCACTGCTTTACAGGAAAACTTATACTTTTGACCAACTACTTACCTTAGAACTCATCCATGTTACTAAAACCAACAAAATAATTTCCACTTGAATGTTCAAAGCATAAGTAGCATTTAACCTCTAGTGTTTCAGGACATTGACCATCACAGGAAAATAATTCCTCTCAACTTAATAGTAACCTAGTCATAGAAACTAATTATAGGTAGGTCGAGAACAGGCATTCTGAACCAAATAAACACCTTCATATTAGCCAGACTTCCTGAGACTATCACACACTAAAATCTATTCATCAGCCTTTCAATAAACAGTTCTTGAGCACCTACTAATAATAGCCAAATAGCCAACCTTTTTGAGAGCTTACCCTAGCCAGGCCCTTAGGTAAACTTCATAACATTCCTATGAGGCAGCAACTATTATTATCCCCATTTGACAGATGAGAAAACTGAGTCACAGACAGCTCAAGTAGTTTCCCCAAGGCCAGGGAGTTTGGTGCCGTAGTTCCTGCTCTTAGCCACTATGCTGTATTGCTTTGCTTCTGAGAAGCAAGTATTCTCTGGATGTTGCAAGGTGGTCCTTGACCTTGAGGCATTCACAGCATTGTGACAGAGCCTGACACACCAAGGATGACAATAAGGGGACACAAGTGAGCAAATGTTGAGTACTTCCCATGTGTAAGGCACTGGGACCAGCTCCTCTCCTCACAATGCCTCAGTTATCCCCACAACAACTCAATGAGGCGTTATTGTTTGCAATAAGGCAAACAGTGAGGATGTGAGAAAGGCAGGAATTTGGAGATGTTGAATAACCAGACAGAGGTCAAGCAGTTTTTGAGTGTTGTGAGGATTGGAGTCAGCATCCGTGGTCAACTCCATCCCTTTTGGAATCACACATGCTTCCCACTTCACCCAGATGTCTGCTATCTTACGAGTCTCATATCGGTCAAGGGCATCTCTTGGACACAAATGAGACAGTGACTTGCTCTACCTGCGGAGGACCAGGAAGTCTTCACAGAAAAACTGATAAGAGAATGTGATTAGGAAGGAATATTAGGAATTGAGAGACTGAAAAGAAATGTTTCAGACTGAGAATGTATACAGCATGTTCACAATAGCACAGACATGTAAAAATGTTTAGCATGCTCAGGAGTAAGAGCTGGTACAGGGTAGCTGGAATATGGATTAGAAAGCGATGAGGAGGGGCAGGAGATGAGGCTGGAAATGTTTTAGGGACCAAATATTGAGGGGCTCAGTACAACACCCCACTTGGAGTTTATACTGGAGGCCTCTGAGAGCTGACTCACAGCTGCCTACTGTGTTCAAAGCTTCTAGATAAGAGATAGCCATGAATGTTTTTATTGTTTTGCTCTCTTTCATCTATTTAATTCTACACAAAAAAATATTTTGGATAGTATTTGAAGAAGGCTTTTGTTCAAGCATAATCTTCCAAGATCATCAAGGACTGACACTACGTGATATTTACCTTTATAATACCAACATCTGACGTTCTGCCTACACAAGATACATGTTTGATGAACGATTGCTAAATAAGTGGATGGATGGATGGATGATGGGTGGAAGGTGGATGGATGGTGAATGGATGGATAAATGAATAAGTGAATAAATTAATGAGCAAATAAGCAAAGTAATAAAGTTATAGTAGGGGTGGCATTATGTGTAGACAGAGTTACCAACAATTTACATATTCAATGTCAGCATTAAACATATGCCTCTCTCCACAGTCCCCAATGATTAGAATTCCTGTCACATGGAGGAATTTTTTTCATTCTGTAGTAGAGAATAAGATTTAAAATGCAAATACTTGAAAGAATTCTTCAATGAATTTTGATTGATTGTTGAAAATAGGAAAAAGTAGACATGAATTCATACTAAGATGTAAATGATTGATCCTGGATCATTTCCTGACTGGGTATTGGGATAGGCAGGGAGGCAGAGGATGAAGTCTGAGTTAGTTAACTCCTTCCATTCCATCAGTAAGGAGTTTCAGAAGCTTCCGCGTTCCACCAAATCTTACCTTACCCTTCAAATATTCACTTTCACTTGAGGATGCTTTCTTTCAAAGATGGATACTGGCAAAGACCCCTAGAATGTTGCCCACATCCTCTGTCCCACCACTTATTAACATACACACCCCTCTCTACTAATCAGGCCAGCCTCTGCCTTTCTCCATAACCCATGCAGATGGCCACCTCACTGCCCCATCTTTGTCTTCTCATCATCCTACAGTGCTCTCCCCACTCCATCTCCCCATCCTTTAAAATCCTGCCTCATCATCTCAGCAATTGGTCCCTCCTAAAATTCCCACTGCGGTAGGGAGCAACACCAAAACCTCTTTTTTTCGATTCATCCTTAACTACTTGTCACCTTAGTGTAGATTATAGGTACAGTAAATTTTGCTAATAATAATACGTACATTCCCTGAGTATGACGTTTATGCTCAGACCTTGGATTTTGCACACATGATATCTCATCCTAAGAGGTAAAAATTTTTGTGCCCATTTTATAGATGAAGACTCCAAGGATCAGAAGGGTAAAATATAAGCCAAATAAAGACCCCCTCCCTTGAATTCCAGCTCTTCCAGTTCTAACTCAGCCCTCTTTCCCCTATTCAGTGTTGCTACTGAATGATGAAAATATTCTGCTTTGTCATTAGATATTATATTTAAAACCGTGGCTCAACTTGTACAAAACCTCTATAAGTTCTTTTTATAATGGTTGCAGAGTATTCCACAGAACATATATGTATTAGGTTTTATTTAACCCTTATTATTGGATATGGAGTTTGCAGCTTTGTTTTTAAAACCATAAGGAGCAGAGCCATGAAAAAACTGTAGATTTTTTTTCCTTAGTTTGGATTATTTCATTATAATAAATTCCCAGGAACAGAATTATCGTGTCAAAGCATATGAATGTTTTATGACTCAAAATACACATTATCAACGTGCAATGCTGTGCACCAATGTACACCGCTGCCAGCAAGGCATATGCAGTCCCAAGTCGTAGCACCCATGAGTGAAGGGCGTGATCATTTTGCTTTCTTATAACTAGTGAGGCCAAACACTGTCTACTAATGCATCTGCTGTGAATTATCTCATCTAGTCTTGTAGACATGTACCTCTTAGTATTCTGATTGCATTTTCTGTTCGTTCATACCAGTTTTTCATAACATAGAATAAATCCTATGCTAGGCATAGTGTTTGTGCTATACCTAAGTTCATTCAGCTAATTATACTCAATTTGGGACAAATACTTGATGGTCACCCACGATGTGTCACCATGATGGCACTGGGGACACCCAAATGAAAAAGAAAAGGCTTTAAGAAACCAAAAGACTACAGAAAAAGGTCTGATGGTTGGCCCTGTGAGGTAAACTCTGAATTAACTACAAGATACTCCTACTCAAAATGAGGAGACAGGCCATGAAAAGGATCATGATTTGGAAATGGGGGACAGCCAAGAGTGCTGTAGGGTTTCAGAAAAGGCAGAGAATGGAGAGATCTGGGGCACCTTCATGGAAGATGCAAGTTTGAGCTGGGCCTGGGGGACAGTGGAATTTGGGGAGAAGCAGAAGGGTAGGATTTCTGACTAAGAAGCCTTATGAATCAAAGCCCAGAGCTGACATCACAGCTGCAAAAGCAGGCTCAGCAAGCAGAGGGGCTGCTGGTGCATCTGGTAAACATTTTCTGCATGAGGACCCATGAGACATTTGTTTGTTCACCAAGCAGTCTGGCTGCTATCATGTGGGTCCATGAGAACAAGACCATTCAGATGAAAGTGGACATCTCTTTTTCAGAAGTTTCTCCTTGTGAAGGCAACTAAGCTAACCCTATCTTTACCAGCTACTGAAGGGCCTATCAAATTCTGATCTTTAATGTTCTTAGTGTGACAAATATACTTTTTGCCCAAGGCCTGGCTGCTTGGGCCCAGGAATTACAAGGGATTCTTTTCCTGAGTCAGGGAAGGGTCTTACAAAGATATGAGGATACATTGCCACACCCTCCAATTCGTTTGCAAAGTGGAGTAAGTCATGGAGCTGTTCAATTTACTTCTCAGTTGAACAAGCACCAATCAGTTACCCATGGTCTGAAGCCAGCAGAGGCTCTCTACCAGTCAGATAAATAATCTTGACTCGAGTTTCTCAGCGGACTTGAGTGTCTAAACAACTACATGGGTGTTCCTTAAATCAGCCTGAGAGTACTCTCTGAGCACCAGGAGGGAACCTGTCTTCATTGTTTTGCATCCCTAGCGCTGATCAGAAGAGATCTTAAACACAGAAATGGCCCAGCGTCCATAGTGACAGGCACCAAAGGATTATGCAACAGTAATGATGGTGAATCCTCTGGAATTAAGGGGAAGATTCTTCCCAAGCTACCAAAACAAGGTTCCAGAGAGGCTAGCACAGGCTCTTCAGATCATCGATGACCAGTCTTCAATAAAATAAACAATCACTGGCCTGAAGGATCCAGGATACAGAGCTAGAAGATCCCTTACCCATCACCTGGTCACCAGGCAGGCCCTAAGGTCAAGTGTTGAATGGGCAGGAGAAACCCCTGGGGCACCTGCTTAGCCTCCGAGTCTACCCAACACTAGGCCTATGGATACAGTGATAGACCTCGTAGCAGAGTCTAGGAATCCCCCACCCCCTCAGCACCATCCACACTGGCCTCCTTCTACCTCAGTGCACTAGCTGTTTCCCCCAGCTAGAATGCTCTTTCCCCCATGACATCTACATGATTCCCTCCTCTACCTTATTTTAGTCTCTGCTCCGATGCTGCCTCCTCTGAGTGGGCTTCCCTGACCGCCTTGTATAAAACAGCATCCCTTCACCCTCCCCTTAGCAGGCTGCACTTTACTCCCAGCTCTTATGACCACCTGAAACACTAACAATGGTTAAGATCCATGACATGAGGGATCTGTCTTATCTGTCCACTGCTATGTGCCAGGCACCCAGAACAAAGCCTGGCACATAGTAAGCTTTCCATAATTATTCATTGACTAAATTAATCAATTTTTCACAAAAGTTCCAAGGAGTCCCATAAGACCAGTCCTTGAACTCTACTCTGTAAGTCTCAAGACAAATTTTACCCCTTTGAGTCTCTCAGTTCCACTTCATCAAGACAGTGTGTTCTGCTCCCCTCCTTTTTTGCTGGCCTCCTCTATCATACCTGGAGTCCCAGAGGAGAAATTACCTAGATTATCGATCCCAGGAGATGACGACGCACTAGTCTTATCCAAACCTCTCAGAAAACTGAACATCAGAGAGTTTAGTGGCTTGTCCAGCATCACACAGTTACTATGTGAGTGGCAGCTGGGACAGAGGACCCAGGTTTCCTAATTCTCACTGCATTGCTCCACCCAAAACACCATTCTTTCTCCCTTAGCTGCAAACGGTGTGTGTATTGCTAATAGGGAAGGGAACTTTTTTGAAGGAGGCAGACAAAATGAAGGAGGAAGGCCACAAGTTGAACTAGGAAGAAAGGCAAGGCCTTGCCATCACAACCGATTGTAGAATGGATA